CTCACTCTGTTGCCCAGACTGTAGTGCAGTGGCACGATCACGACCACTGTAGCCTCGACCTGCTGGGCTTAGGTGATCCTTCTACCTCAGCCTTCCAAGTAGCTAGAACTACAGGTGTGCATCACCACACCCAGCTAATATTTTGATTTATTGTAAAGATGAGGGCTCACCAAGTTGCCTAGGCTGGTCTAGAACCCCTGGGCTCAGGCGATCCTCTCGCCTCCACCTCCCAAAGTGCCAGAATTACACCATGCCCAGCTAACAGAACAGTTTTAATAACACTAAATCCCAGGTATGTGGGTGACCAAATTCTGTATAATTTTGCCCAGTTACCAATAGAATTTCTCAACATACACAATATAAGTATTTCATATAAAATATAGAGTCGTCTCACTTTGTGTAATAGTTTCATTCTTGAAAAACTTGTGTGTAAAGTTAATTTTTATAATTCTAATCATTTACTGAAATAAATCTTCCCCTACTTTGAGGATCAGTTCAAATCCTCCTCTTGCAGGATGTTTTCTCATGTTGTCCTGACCTGAAGTGATTTCTTCATTCTCTAAATTTTAGTAGCCCAAATTATTGTGTGTGTGTGTGTGTGTGTGTGTGTGTGTGTGTGTGTGTGTGTGTGTAAAACAGTGATAAAATACATTTTTATTTAATTTGTTGTAAAAAAAAAAAAAAAACTATTGCTAAGGTAGTTATCAGACAAACAGAAAGGTGCTTTAGAAGTTCAATTACCAGCCAGACTCGGTGGCTCAGCCTGTAATCCCGCACTCGGGAGGCTGAGGTGAGTGGATTGCCTGAGCCCGCGGGTTCGAGACCCACTTGGGCAGCTTGGCGAGACCTCATCTCTACAACAAAATAAAAAAAATTAGCCGAGAGTGGTAGCGCACGCCTGTAATTCCAGCTACTTGGAAGGCTGAGGTGGAAGGATCGCTGGAGCCCAGCGGGTCGAGGCTGCGGAGGTCGGGAGCGGCCACTGCACTCCAGTTCGGGCGAGAGTGAGACTCCAACTCAAAAAAAAAAAAGTCCAATTACCTTGGAGTTTATTTAGACTAAGAGAAAAAGGTCATAATGTTTTCATGCAGTACATACTTGGTTTTTTAAATAACAATTTTGTGACAAACAGCAGAAGAAATTAAGGAATGCTGTACTTGTGATCCACACAAAACACCATTTTAGGTTGTACATAATTAAAGAAATATCTCAAACACTTTTTGAAATACTGTAGTAGCCAATACTTAGAGGCATGCCTTAGGTGGGCATAGGAATGCAGTTTAGAAAAGAAAAAAAAAACACACATAGGAACTACTCAATTTCTTTAAAATCACCGAGAAAGAAAAGAAACGTTGATCTTTCATACTGATTTCACACAACTTTCTATACAGTACCTTGACTTAAATCCAAGAGCAAAAGTTAAGACTCTTCTCTATTTTTGGTAAACAACTGCATGGTAAACTTAGATGACTATTCCCTCTGGATTTTACCTGGGAGTGGTTTTTAAATTTTTTACTTAAAAGAGGGTAGGTTTGGCACTTTTATACTGATGTCACCAATGTTAATATTTCTTGGGATCTCAGGAAGATTCATATTCTTACAGCAGATCCAGCACGGGCTGGAGCTCCCGCTAAGCCAGCCTCAAATTTCTCCAATTTATTTTGTGCATCAGTTTGTGTAACAATCTCATTCATGTTCGTCTCCAACACTATTGCCCCCATCACCATTTCTGCAAGAATATTGTGAACCTTGTCTACGTGGAAAATCAAATCCAGTTCGCAGACATTTTCAAAACATTTGTCTAATGTTTCCACAAATACCTCTCGATATGATGCACTAAGGACATGACTTCTGTGGTATTCTTGCCAATAATGCATCAATTGAATTAGATCTAAAATGCCAAGTTCACTTTCTGAAAAGTCCACTCAGAAGACAAAATATAATGTTGCACAATGTCTATTAATCAGTTTGTTGTCAGATCTTCCAATTAACAATCTTCCTTCTAGGAAATTACAAACATTTTCATCTCTCTTAGATACCACATGGAAAGTCTTCCTGATGATTTGCTGTTGTGTATCTTCACTGTAGGGCTGGTAGAACTTGGAGAGCCACAGCTTCCCGTGGTTGTTGAAGATGAGGATCGCCTTGATCGTGGCTGGGCTGGGCAGACCGGGTGGGCGCGGGCGGCCAGGGCGGGGGCGGGAGCGCGAGCCTCACCTCGGGATTTCACCGGCGATCCTTCCCCACCCATCCCGTCCTGCACGCGCGCGCGCTCCCCTTGTGTGTGTTTTTATTAATTTTTTTAAACTTATTTATTTTAGAGACAGGGTCTCGCTGTGTTCCTCAGGCTGGAGCGCATTGGCACCATCACAGCTCACTGCAACCTTGAACTCCTGGGTGCAAGCGAATTCTCCAGTCTCAACCTCCCAAAGTGCAGGGATCGCAGTCATGCGCATTTTGTCTTCTGTGTGGACTCTTCAGACCGTGAACTTGCCATTTTAGATCTAGTTCACTGGGTCCTGTTCCACTGATTTGATACTTGTCACCAGGGTCACTCTTTTGTGCCTTTGTAATTTATGGCATCATTGCTTACCCTGTTTATTTAGATGTATACATTTCATTTCTACACACACACAAACTCCAATATAGTACCTTCACTGAGGGAAGGAGCCATATCTCATGCTTTAAAAAAAAAAAAAAATCTCCACGCATGCAGTGCAGTGCCTTGCACACAGGAGGTACTCAATAAAATTTCCTGCTTAATTGGTTTTCCATTTTTGTTTTGCTTTAGGCAAGGCATAACTGTTATTTTATGATTCTGTTTAAGTAATTTACTCATTTTAATTATACGGTAATTTTCTCAATTTTCCATTTTTCTTTACTAATGTAAGCCAGGACTAACCTAAGATGCTGACTAAAACCCACTTCCCCTCCACTTTACTAATTCCTAGCTTGAAGTACTCCCCACTTAGTGCGTTTGAAATAAAAAGCATACCGCAAGGAGATTAGAGATTCCATCTGAGGTTTCCCTCTAATTCTCCCAGGGGCTGTGGGTTGTCATTTACAGGTCCCCACAAGGTACTAGATTCATTTGCCAGTCCCTGGAGGCTGACATTCTTAGAAGCCTGGTTCTTCCTCCTCTTTGACACGGAAAACTTTCCGGTTTCTACACTAGTGTTTCTACACTACTTCCTTCATGCCTTTTTAGTACTTGGCACTTTGAGACATAATTTATTATATATGAGGGGACCCCCAAAAACCTGGAACTTATTTATAAAAAATTGTGTATTTATTCTTACATGTTTAAACTTCAGTCACCTTCAAAGTACTCTTCATTTGTTGCAATACACCTATCAAGATGCTTTTCCCATAGCTCAAAACAGTTTTTTAACTTGTCCATTTTGATGCCTTTTAGTGCTCCTCTTATTTTACTGTTTCACCTCTTCCACACTGGCAAAATGTTTCCCTTTGAGGACTTTTTCATTTGGGGAAAAAAATAAATAAAGTCCCTTGGGGTGAGATCAGGTGAATAGGGAAGGTAAGGTATGGGTGTCATGCTGTTTGGGGTCAAAAACTGCTGAACACTCAGTGCGGTGCAGGCAGGTGCACTTGTAAATCATCCATCATGAAATGGGCAAACGCCTTGGTAGAATCTCCAAAAAAATTCACTGAAACCAAACGCAGCTTCTCACAGTAACACTAGTTGGTACACTGATGCTGATGGGTTCCTAGAACACTTACCCAGCAGAGGAAGCCTGCACTCAAAAAAAAAAAAAAAAAAAAAAGAGGACGATATAATACCAGGCTCTTTTTGGGTCTCCCCCCGCCTCGTGTTTGTCTGTCTGTAACTAGACCGTTGAACTCTTCAAAGCAGGGACCATATACTTTAGCTACTCCTTGCTTGGCATGCAGTAAATACTCAACAAATGTTTGTGGAATAAATGCATAGATTAATGAGTAAACAAATGAATATGACTTCTTAAGTGACCTAATCCTTTAAAGAATTTCTGTCTTAATTGGCTTATTATTCATATACAAATCTCTGGAGAATTTTAGGACAGAGATTATTTCCTTTAATTCTCTTAGTTTCCATGAAGTAGATTTGTGGTATGTTGTTTTTGTTTGTCCAGCATTTCTTTATCACTTTTTAGGATGAATCCCATGTGATTTGTCAAGGCTAGTCTTGACTTTTGACTCTCTTTCCCCTCTGCCCATTAAAAAAATGGTATTTGGCTTAGGCCTGTCCAACCAGAGTATGTCCTATCCCTTGACACGGTAATTGGTTCAGAGCAGCACATGACCTAAATGCATGAATTAGTTTTCCAGTTTTTGCTATTACTGTGAGCTACTAGGAGAACTTAGGCTTCGGGTGTTCAGAAGCCATTTTTCCTACCTTGTGGAGAGAGCTTCTGTTGCAATGAAATCTAAAAGTGGAGAAACCAGGCAGACAGCAAACACTCTCTCTGCTGCTCTGCTTGTTGTGCTTTTCACAACATATCCTCCCTTTAATAAATCTACCTTTCTTAATTCATAACTGTCTTGATAAATGCTTTTACTCCCCGTGGCACTGGCCATACCTAGCCCTACATACATAGATGATGGTACATAGGGGGTTAAAAAAAAAAGTGGAGAATCCAATGTGAAGAGATGTGGAAGGAGACCATTCTGACAACGAGATTAAGCCTCTAGTCTAGACAGCAATATACATACCAGAATCCACTGCTATCTCCTAGTAACATGGACTAGTTTAGGTTTATACGAGGGGGTACCCAAAAAACCCAGGAATTATCTTTTGGAGGGCAAGCCCATACAGGCTTCCTCCACTAGATAAGCGTTCTGTGAACCCATAGACATCAATGTACCAGCTAGTGTTGTTGTAAGAGGCTGCATTCGGCTTCAGTGAATTTTTTTTATGGCAAAAAGGTGACTGTTTCTTCTACCATGACAACGCACTTGCCTACACTGTGCTGAGTGTTCTGCAGTTTTTGACCAAAAATGACATGACCTCCATTCCCACCTTCCCTATTCACCCAATCTCGTCTAGTGACTTTTTGTTTTTCCGGATGAAAAAAGTCCTCAAAGGGAAATATTTTGCCCATGTGAAAGAGGTGATACCAAGCATGGCAGAAGCACTAAAAGGCATCAAAATGGACAAAATGGACAAAAACTATTCTGAGCTGTGGGAAAAGTGTCTTGATAGGTGTATTGTAGCAAACGGAGAGTACTTTGAAAGTAACTGAAGTTTAGACATGTGAGAATAAATACACAATTTTTAAAATAAACTAATTCCTTTTTCCTGGGTCCCCCTTGAATGTGCATTTCAATCACATTCAAGTTTAATACCCATAGGGTTTTTTTTAATCCTTCATGATACCTGGTTGCAGCCCATCTGAGATCTGATTCTAAGTCTAAGGATATTTTCAGTTATGGGAAGAGCCATCTGCTTCTGTCTTGCTCCATCTCCATTCTATGTTGGCTGTCTCTAGGTGTGACTTGTGATGCTTGTGATGTTGGCCTCTGCCATGTCTGTTATCAATGAATTGTCTGTAGTTCCACCATGCCTCCTCAGCTGGCCAGTACATCCAAGCAGCTTGCATCATCCCTGTCCCAATCACTCTTTCCAACCTATTGGCCTTTCTTATCCCCCCCCCCTTCTTTTGGGCATAGGAAAGATTTGCTCATGTGATTATGAAGGCTGGCAAGTTTAAAATTTGCAGGGTAGGCAAGTTTAAAATTTGCAGGGTAGGCCAGCAGGCTGGAGACCCAGAGGGAGCTGATGTTACATGAGGAGTCTGAAGATTGCTGCTTTAATTTTCTCTTGCTTGGGGGAGGCCAGTCTTTTGTTCTATTCAGGCCTTCAATTGATTGCATGAGGCCCACCACAGTCTGGGGGGCAATCTATTTTACAAAAAAGTCCACTAATTTAAATGTTAATCTCATCCAAATCATCCTCACAGAAACACCCGGAATAATGTGTGACTGCATATCTGGGCACATGGCACTGTGAAGCTGACACAACCTAACAGAAGATCTGGTTGTTTTGCACTCTGCAATCCCCATTGCTGCTACCTTTTTGAGGCTAGTGACTACCCAAGTTCTAGAGAAGGCAGATCTTGAATTTTTCTCTGCTGAACCAAGATGAAGGGAACAGGGGACTTTTCTATGAGGCATAAGCCATTTCTACTCTTGGATCCTCAATCCCTACCCTCAACTCAGCTCAGAGGTGGGACATGAGAGCATGTGTCCCACAGTGCATCTGACTTCCAACTGTCCTTTCTTCCCCAGTCTGGAGGCTTTTATTACGGCTCAGGTGGTAGGAATGGGAAGATGATGGGATATAGGTAACTGGTACAACCAGGTTGCCTTTGTTTTCCATTTTTTTCTCATACCTGCATCAGAGCTATTGAATTTAACAGCAGAGAATGGCATGCTTGTCTTTAGCCCTGGTTTTACAATGAGGTCCTAGGAAGACTGGCACCCCAAAGTTGCTGTAATTGGTGAAAAAGCAAAGAACACACTGACACCTGGTTGTAACTTCATTCTCTTATTTCACCACATCAGCTATGCAAATATTGTATTTTTCTTCCTCCTCTGCTTTCTTCACCTCATTTACAGTGTCTGGAAACAGTGCCCTTTACCTTTTCAGACTGACCTAAAAGACTTTGATGGAGGTATTTCAGGCAACATGAGGAAAGACGGTTGGTGAGGGACAATATTTTAGGTGTGAAGAGTTTGAAGAATTAATACATTAAAATGTTTTGGGTTAGGAATAAGCTATACACCAAGATAAACAAAGTGACTGACTAAGACATAATGAAAAAGGTAAGCCCTTACTCTGAGCTGGGTCAATTCCAATTAGATCAGAAACAACTGAATTATGTATAAACCTTACCCATTGACACCAGTCTTTGTTGTTATTATTATTTTTACCACTCTCAAGGCCAAGTTGAAGACTATAGGGTGAAGGAGCATACCTTTGTAGGAAAAAGACGGTTAAAAATCAGATGCGTTAAATGATAGTTCGAGAAATGTTTTAACGTCTTTAAAAATATTTTTTAAAATCTTTAAAATAATTTAAAGAAAAGTAGTGTTATGATCATATTTTGACAAAAATAAAACAAAACAAAAACAAAACAAAAATGCAAGTGTAAATTGCTCTTTTTGACAGAGTTATAGGCTATCAGTGAGATGGAACTACTGAGTTAAAAGAAAATAACTCAACCAATCCTACTATTGCCAAATGTCCGGATCTTAACAAGCACATATGGAAGATAGATTTGAGCAGTGTATAAACTTCAGGTGGCTGTGCTATGAGAACAACCCTATTAAAGATAATAAATATAATCTAAATTCTCAAGCTTTTTAAAAACAAAAATCAAAATCAGAGTTGGAAGATATTCTGGATAGTCACTCAACCTTCTGAAACATGATTTATTCTCATACTTTTAAAATGACAACGGGAAAGGTATCAGTTTTGCAAAGTATGTAAAAATGAAACAGCCGGGCCCAGTAGAAGACCATGTATCCATTTATTTCTTCATCCATCCATTCAGCAAACATTTATTGAAGATATATCATTTAGCATTTTTTGGTTTCATTTTGTTCAGCAGGCCTAGCTATCCCATTTGTTTGCAATGTATGCTCAGCTATCTGCCAGCTGTCACTCCCCTCTCCTGGGACAAAAGTGGGTTACTGCTAGCTTTCAGTCTCTCCTCCCTCTCTTCCCTGCCTTACCACCCTCATCCCAGTCTGGCCCTTCTGCCTAGATCTCTTACGTATCCTGTATTTTTCTGTCCCAGATTTAAATGACATATTAAGTAGGACAAATGTCAATTAAGTTCTCTATAGGTAGTGAGGTAACTGTATTGTAGGAGTATGGAAGAGGGAAAAGATGGCATGGCATGTTGAGGCTTGGTGGGGATATAAGTGGCCTAACCAATAATCAAGTCATATGCCCTGACAAGTAAATGAAGACTTATAATAAAAAACAAAGCAGCATATTTGAAATCACCACTGTTATAGTAAATGCAGAACTACTGTCAGCAAACTCAAGAATTTGCTACTTCTAGTTCTTTGGGGGAACATTTAGAGTGATTTCAGGAATTGTTTGAATGAAAGGGGCTGGACAGACTACTTAGTATAAAAAGAGTATGACAGAAATTGGCCATACTCCACGTAGAGGATTAGGTATGGAGAAAACCTAGAGAATAACAAAAAATGTGTGCAATTGCCTAATTCTAAGGCTAAGAGTTTCTTTTTTTTCTTTTTTTTTCCGAGCTGGAGTCTCACTCTGTCACCCAGACTGGAGTGCAATGACCACTCTCAGCCAACCGTAGCCTTGACCTGCTGGGCTCCGGCGATCCTTCCACCTCAGCCTTCCAAGTAACTGAACCTATGGGCATGTGTCACCATGCCCAGCTAATTTTTTGATTTATTGTAGAGATGAGATCTCACTAAGTGGCCTAGGTCTCGAACTGCGGGCTCAGGCAATCCTCTCACCTCAGCCTCCCAAGGTGCTGGGATTATACACGTGAGCCACTGCACCCATCTAGTTTCCATTTTTTTCATTGCTTTTAATTGGAGACACATGATTTCTACTAGTAAGAGTCACTATTTAGCCATTATGTATCCTATGTCTTACATACTGCATATATTATTTTATTAAATTTTTACAAGCTCCCTGCAAGGTAGGAATCATTCCTACTTTCCTAAGAGGAAACCAAGGAATAACGTCCTTAAAGTTATGCAGCTCTCGGTAGGAAATGCAAATCCTCAGCTGTCTGCCTCCAATGCAGTTGTTGCTTCAGATAATAGGGGATAATGTGAATTTCCTCAAATAATCTGATGACTGAGGGACTCTTATCAAGAGAAAGTTTCACGGGGTTGAGAGAAGTAGGGATCATTGCTGAAATCAGAGTCTTAAAATTTCAAAAATGGACTGAAAATAATTTGAAAAGAAAATTTCAAAGTATTTTTCAAAGACTGAGGTAAAGAGAAGTAAGGAATGAAAATCGCACGACCAATGGATTGGCCATTCCATCCATCATGATGGGAAAGCCTCACCTGAGTGAAAGCAACCCGATTTACATTCTAATCTTGATTCCACAGCCTTGAATCCAGCACTCTCCCTCTTTTTTTTTTTTTTTTTTTTTTTTGAGACAGGGTCTCACTCTGTTGCCCTGGGCTGAAGTACAGTGGCACCATTCTGGTTTACTGCAGTTTTGACCTCCTGGGCTCAAGTGATCTTCCTACCTCAACCTCCCCAGCAGCTGGGACTACAGGTGTATGCCACCACCACCACACCCAGCTAATTTTTTTTTTTTTATTTTTTGCAGAGAACGAGGTCTTGCTAAGTTGCCCAGCCCATTCTCGAACTCCTGGGCCGAAGCATTCCTACCGAGTGGGCCTACCAAAGTGTTGGGAGTACATGTGTGAGCCACCACACCCAGCTGCACTCACCTTCTTTAGGGCTCATTTCCTCCTCAGTAATTTGGATTTTTGAGATTCTTTAAAGTTATTAAGATGATCTGAATACTTATATTAAAATCAAAGCTCTTCAACTCTTTAATTTTCACCGAGGTTAAGGAAGGAGGTATTTTAGAAAACAAGATCAGGAAACAAAACCATTAATATAGAGAGTATTATCATTCAGAGTGCTGATTCACCCGGGATGAATATACATCTCAGCGCTTCTCACTGATTCTTATGTACGTGACTTGATTAATAGTGAAAGAACACCCTGGACTCCATTTCTGTCTTTATTTAGGTACCTAACCTTTAATTACAGACGCATTCCTTATAGGTTGTGTGAGCCAGACCCTGGAGTCAATCAGAGAACCCCGGGTTCAGACACAGTCCTGTTGGCGGCGGGGCAGCCTTCAAGGGAATTCATCCACACAATGGAAACATTTTCAAATAATGTATAAATAATCCAGGTCCCACACCACAGGGCGATCGTGCCGACATACAAACCACGGTAAGTCCCCAATAACATCAGCCTTAAACTCTTTAAAGGGATGGATGGATTTTCTGTCACAACTAGCGGCCAGTGACATCTTGGGGGCCTCTTTTGAAAGCAAAAAGTTATCCCAGCTGAAATGTTCGCCAGTTCAGATTTTGATGCACCTGCTTTTAACGAAGTATGACAGCGGCGTGCGCCCCTACGTGCAGCCATCTGTTAATCGTATCATCTGTGAGCCGTTTTTTGATTGTACGGACCCTTACATGGTTAGGAAACAAACGGATCAGGAACCGCCCATCGGCATCGGTAGCAAATGATTTAAAATCAGGGTTGCCGGTTATTCTCGGGTAAATAACCTGTCGGCTTCTAGACACACACATCTCCATTTCATGGGGAGAAGAGTCAGATCAAACGTTTTGCATCCGAGAAAAATAAAAGCCGGCGCTGGGAGGCGGCAGGCAGCGCGCTTGGACCTCGGACTCGGCGCCCGTTACGTAACCCCAGGGCGGCGGGGCCTCCGCGCC